ATAACATGTTTAAAATATACTTAAAAGTTTAATTGCAATTGAATAAAATAATTTGTCCACGATGACCCACGGAGAGAGAAACCATTGACAACCATTATTTCACAATTTTACGAATAAAACGTTACCATATTCCATCGATTCAAATTGTAATTTGCTAATGGTTGTACAATAACAGTTGCAGTGATTTTGTAATGCTGTGACTTTCTTTCTTTTATGTTTTAAAGTAAAATGCCATGCGAAATTGTTGATATTCCCCCCCCCACCCGCTGAGTGAGTGGTACATTCCGAACAGCCCAACAGCTACGGTGAGCAATGTGGATCAAAGCAGATGCCGTTAACGCGATTTGTTATTATCACAGATGTTAATTTGGCATATTTGGACTGACGCACATCATAATCGGAATATTTATACTGCAGCAGGAATCCGATGACCTGTAAAGCTCTCGGGGTACGAACGTTACAACAACAAACCGTACACAAACATGATAGTAGCGCAAGTACATGGAAAGTTAACACATCCCCATGACACATCTACAGGAGTTTAACACGTAAAGCCTTCGCGACCAATATCCATTATACAGTTTTATTGGGGGTTAACCATCTAACCCAAACAACCTGCATTATGGACATCTACAGTATATATAAATATAAAAGTTAGTAGTTCCCTGCGTCTTGTTGACATTCGAGTGATTTCCACAAAGCGCTTTGCTTTATCCACCGCTTTCTTTGTTGTCGGAGTGCAGCGACGAATTCGCATTGGCTCCGTGTCGCCATGGACTGCGTCTGTAGCGCGTTGTGGCGAACGCCGTTCGAGTGGTGCAGCTCGTTGACGCACAGCAGCTGCTGTTGTTGTACAACATTAATGATTGACACCTCATCGATGTCTCTTTCAATTCACTACGCACGATTTTATCACCGATGTGACTTTTTACTTTGACGACAGACACTTATCATCGTTCTTGATTTGAAGCTTTCGTGACTGCAGGAATCCATACTTTTTGGTTGTTTCGGTAAAAAATATCTACTTGACTTTACCGAAAGATCAAAGGAGTTTACTTCTCATCATTTTCTCACAATAATCTCGCCGTTAACTGTTTACAGCTCAGATCTAGCACATGGTGTGGGTATGCAGAGCTGCCAACCCCTTATCCGTGCCCTACTTTATTACGGACAAGAAAGCGAACATTACTTAGCACGAGGTTACAAACCTCACGAGACACTACGTGGAAATGTGCTCAGGTGGTCAAGGTCAGATACGAGCTTCGAATCGCACGCAGCTGTCTAGACGCAACGTGAGACACGTTACACGGTCGGCTATGACCACTTCCAGGGGGGAGCCAGGTCCACTCGCTATGCTCTCAGTGGAGCTGCGCTCGCCACGACTCTCAGTGGCTTCTCACAGATAGCCGCTCGCTGTGGCTGAGAGACGCTGTCCCTGGAGCGCATATGGCGGCGACGAACCAAGACACGAATCGACTTTCACCAGCGTAGACAGGAGCAGTGCATTCACACCGCGGTGTTGGGGTTTATGGGTCACGATTTTTACAAAACCCAGAGTGGCCATGCAAAGGTGATGGTTTGCCCCTTGGACTGATTTCGTCGGCTATGGTGAGGTTCTGTGGGTTTCTGCACCAAACCGTACCTTGTAAAACATTCTTATTATCATTGCAATTATTTTAGCATGACAGTTTAAAATTGTATTAAAAAAGAATCAACTTAATATTGTGCATTTTTTTGACAAATGATCTCCTTTCTTCACGTGTAAATGAGTGGGGGATCATATGGGAGGGGAGGAGGGTGATCGTGTGGGTGGTTGAGGTGTGTGTGGGTGGAGATTGATGTTGTAGTGGTTAGTGCGCTGTGCTATGAACCTGCCGATCCAAGTTCAATTCCCACTCATGGCCACCAACACCAGTGACCATTGTCTGAACCGGTCATGGGCCTCCCTTAGGTCCATTCAGCCTGAAATGAGTACCTTGGTGTGGAGTATACATTTCACCACTCGGGAGACAAAGGCGGCAGGGATTGGTGCTGGCCACGCACCCATTCGTGTGCTGTGCCAGCCTTCATAGATGCGCTTGCCCAACAGTCTGTTCATGCTATACGGGGGATCTTTGTCTTTGTGCGGGTGGGTGAGTGAGCGGGTTTGCAGGCGATCAGGTGGGAGGGAGATCAGCCGGGAATGGGCGCTTGAATAAGCATGAGGTGGACAGGTGGGAGGGTGGCGGGATGGGCAAGTGTATGGCCGAGCAGGTGTGAGTGTGGGCAGATGGGAGGGAAAGGCCCTTTAGATGGCTGGGGGGGTAGTAGGTTAGGGAGTGGCAGGTGTCGGGTAGGAGAGTGTTGGGTGCAGGTGAGTGGGTGTTAGTCATCATTACCAAGCGTAGTCATTATCATCATCATTGTCCTCTTCATCATCATCCATCTGTCCGGATCCATTCATCATTAGGGCTAATGATGACGAGGAACAAGCAAACTGACTGAGAGTGCAGCTATAAATACCACGAGACACGCCATGGAATGTGGCCCAAGGCTACAGACAGCACTTACCTGTGAAGATGTAGAGGTGATCGCTATTCACCATTCAGTACCTGCAGTACCACTGAGAGTCAACGGCGTGCAGCAGCGTTACCTCCCTGGTGGAAATGCCCGGGGTCAAGCGGGGGTGAGAGCGGATCAGAACGCCAATTCCTGCTTGGGGAAATTCCCGGGGTCAGATAAGGTGAAACGGATCAGAACGACTATTTGGGAAGGACCAATCAGAAGGCACCAAGCCGATTGGGAAGGACCAATCAGAAGGTTACACGATGGAGCATGGCTTGGATGGAGCCAGCGACGAACCGGTATAAAAGGGAGAGCGCTGAGGGCTCGGGGCAGTTCTCTCCACACGAAGACCGTAGCCCGGGCTGAAGATAGATAGGACCCTGGACCAAGCCTTGCAGCCCTTCTAAGGACTGAGGTTCGGCGTAACTAGTGGTCGGGGACCCACCGAGCCAGCGGTCGGGTCAGTCAGCCTCTCCTAGGTCCCAGCTGGAAGACGTTAGGTTAGCGGGTAACTCGTGAGGAAGTCCTGCCGAGTCCGGAGGCCATACCTCCCTAGGTATCGGGTACGGGGACCTTGTGTGTTAGGGACCGTGTCGGAGAAAGACAATTAACAGTGTGTGCGTCATAGAGAAGTTTATTCGTCTGTAATTACAACACAACAAAGGCGTAAGCTGTAGATTTACAAACCGTACCCAGGTTTAGTCTCCGATAATATAACATCCATACAAAACAAAACAACTGGAACCATCCAAAAAAATACATGTTTACACAAGTCAGTCTCAGTTATGAGAGAGTCACATTCACAGCCTGGATGACAATCTTCAAAATAGATTTTCAGATTAAATGTTTTATTCAACCAGAACACATTGACCCTTGACCCACAATAGAATGCGATTCCAATTCACAGGTAACCCAGAACACATTCAAGTATATTTATATTACGCGATCTACCCCAATAAACCTTTATCATTGATAATATTGGTCGCGAAAGCCTCCGTGTTAAAGTCGATTTGTTTAACCAGGTGGGAACTCAAGAGACCAGGATGAGTCTCGGTTGCAAGAGTGATGATAATGATGATGCTTCCGCTGCTGATGATATTTCTGGTACTGCTGATAATTATTCTATTATTATTGATGCTGCTGGTTCTACTCCTGATGCTGATAATGATGCAGCTACTGCTGTTGATGTTGTTGCTCCTGTTACTAATTCTGCTGCTGATGATACGTCTGCTGATGTTGATGATCGAGTCGAGTTGAATTTAAATTTAACGAGGCCAGAACTCAGGAGATCAGGATGAGTCTCATTGACAAGAGTGACCTGGGTCACAAAAATGAAAAACCAAAACAAGTCAATCCCATGCCAGCAATGAAGCAAATATAAATCTCACCCACAGCCCAGAGCACAATGCGATTCGCGTTCACACAAGTACACAACTGTTACGATATAATAAATGTGTCTCAAATCATCTACGCATTGCTAAACAGCCTGAGACTCGAGGTTGGGTTTCCACCGGATTGGTGTATCACGTCAAGGAGGGTGACCGTGGTGGCTAGGAGATGTTGAGTCCCTCGCCTGGTATGCAGGAGGTCGTGGGTTGGTTTCCGACCATGGCAGCTGCTGTATATTTGGAGTTTGCAGTGTCTCTCTCCCTGTAATAACACACAGTGTCTGTGTGGTACTAATGCATGTTGAGACAATTTTAGTCGTGTTGTAGTGAAAGGTATATCTTCACTCGAGATATATATCAGACTTAATTAAATAACAGATTTCAATGTCAAAGACAGTTCCAATTTTTGTCAGCAGAGGGAGGAGTTATCCCATGAATCGAAGGTTGTGGCTGGAGGTCCAAAGATAATTAAAACATTAATCAAAACAAACCTTTATTATGGATAATATTGGTGGCTAAAGCCCTCCTACTAGGTCATAAAATGGCTTCTCTCTCTCGATGCCCTTTAAAATAAAACTACTTTGGGTGTGTGGAGGAGTCACTTGACCCCTGGTTATGACAAAAATGTTTTAGCCCAGCGACGCTCGGCACACACCACTTGCACTCCCCCCCTAGTGATGCCATCCCATTCCCACCCCGGGTTTATCACCCAACAAGCGAGTGACCGCGAGGGGACAGTGCGCCACCCCGTAGCGTCACGTGACGCGTGTTCCCAGCACGCCCGCGGTGGAGCTCCGCCCTCTCGGCGTTGAGCGCCACGCGGCGCGCGGTACGAGGGACGATGGCGACAGAGAGAACCTTGGCTCCCCCCGCCCTCCCTCCCAGTGCGCTAACCACTGCACCACCGCTCCACCCCACAGTACGCACATGCCCCTCTATTCACTAAAGACAAACAACCCCCATGTAGCCTTAACAGACTGTTGGGGCAAGCTGTTATTAGCGAGTAGCAACTATGAAGACTGGCACTGTGACACACGAGAGGCTTGGTGGCCAGTGCCATTCCCGGACACACACAAAGACACGCACAGACACAATAATAAGACACACAGAGAAAGGCACACACACCAACCCACTCACCCAAAGACAAATATCCCCATATATCCCTAAAATACTGTTGGGGCAAGTGATGTCAACCACCACCTATGAAGGCAGCCACAGCACAAGAGGGGATTAGTGGCCAGCACCACGCCTGACCCGCCTTTGTCTCCCAGTGGCGATGTTTACACACCGCAGCAGGTTCTCATTTGAGGCTGAGCCGACCTAGGCGAGACACAATACCGATTCAAATAATCGCTATCAATGGTGTTTGTAAACCGGTCATGGGCCTCCCCTAGGTCGACTCAGCCTCACATGAGTCACTGGTGCGGTGTGTAAACGTCAACACTGGGAAGACAAAGGCGGCTGGGCATGGTGTTGGCCACCCACCCTCTTGTGAGCCGTGCTGGCCTTCATAGGTGCTCTGTACCAGCCCTTACCCCTGCAGCCTGTTAAGGCTTCACGGGGGATCTGTGTCTTTGTGTGCGTGAGTCTGTGCGTTGTGCCCGTTTCTCTGCGCTGCTCACACTCCGTGCTCTCAGGACTCACGACTCAGATCCAGAATCCTCACTGAGTCACCATCACCACCCACCCACAGTGCGGGGTAGAGAGGTTGACTAAACGAGTGGTGGAGGGAGTGCAGCAGCTCCATGGAGTCGGCGCAGTAAAACGACAGCAGCCCCGCCTCCCAGTGCAGGTGACACCTGACTCTCCGGGGAGGATCCCTCACCGGCACTGAGGTCTCTACACCACCATGACACACGTAGCAGCTGTTGTTATCTTTATATAAAACCCAGAATGAGTCGTTCTGTCCCAGGCTGCACTCTTTACCACTCCCTTTCCGTGCGATCGTTCCGTACGCGACTCCAACCACACAGCCCCCCGCCGCACCCCCCACGTCCACCTCCCAGTAGTGTTGACCCGACGAGAAGCTCTCGGAGCACAGGGCTTGGTACCAGCCATCAAAGCGGTGTGGGTGATCGAGGCGACCCTGGGAGACAGCAGTCGCCATCACCGTCCTGAGATCCGAGGAAATCTGGAGGAGGTTGTGTGCCGAGTTTGGGTCCAGAGTCGGTGAGCGTCCATCTGCAGCAACGATAATTACAGTATTAACATTGAACCCGTAAACACATTCCTGCGGAGGGAGCTGGTAGGAATGTAATGCGGGCGCGGGCGACCTCCCGGATGTGACGTCACGGAGAGGTGGAGTTAGGTGACGTGGGAGCAAGGTTAAGGTTCTTAAGGGATGAAACCGGAAGAGGAGGGGAGAGAGTGAGAGACTGGACAAGAGTAAGGCCACGTTGGGCGAAGCCAGGAAGAGTGGCACCGTCGGCCAGCGGTGGCCAGCTAAGGGAGCAGCCAGCGGAGCTGCAGGAGAAGACAGCAGTGGGGCTGCTGGAGAGAGAGAGCGGTTGAGGAGCTGCGGTGAGCACAGCCGACGAGGCTGTGTGTGAGAGACAGCAGCAAAGCTGCTAAGAACTACGGGAGCGACGGAGGAACAGCTGCGAGGCTGTCAGAGGCTACGAGAGCGACGAAAGGAGGAACTGCGGCGAGTGCAGCCAGTGGGGCTGCGTGAGGGTAACAGCGGCGAGGCTGCTGGAAGGTTACAAGAACTACGGGAGACCAACAGCGGAGCTGTTGGCGTGACGAGGGTAACAGCAGTATCAGCGAGTGCGGAGAGCCTCATAGAAGGACAGCCGTGTGGGTAACGAGAAGGAACCGAATAAAGGACACCAAGCCAGACTTCGTGGTCGAGTCCTTTATTACAGGAACATTGGGTTGTTCGGTCACTGGCCAGGGTCAATTGCGGCGTGGTGTATTTCGCAAATATGGCTGACTGTGAGGGCGGGCACAAGCCGGCGTGAGTAGGTTAAACGTTGAGTTTTATAAGAGCACCACGGGGTGACCAGCCCCTCCCCACCCAGCCCCACCCCTCCCAACCCCCACCCAGCCCCACCCTCTCCACCCAGCCCCACCCCTCCTACCCCCCACCCAGCCCCATCCACCCCACCCAGGCCTACCCCCCACCCAGCCCCACCCTCCCCACCCAGCCCCTCCCCACCCTCCCTTCTCCACCCAGCCCGACCCCTCCCATTTTTGGATGCACGACGGACGGACACAATACTCCCCTGTGGGCTGGTGGAACCAGGTGGTTCCTACCAGTATAATCCGTACTGTGCCTTAGCAGGGATATAGCAGCTTCAAGCATTTCGAATGACAATTATGTGGCTGCCTTAGTCTGGTTATGAGCCCACACCATTAACAATGAACCTATTGCATCACAACAGTGATGTAGTCTGGCTCGAGTCTGATGATGCCATCCATCACAGAGAAGACTTATAGTCATAGATTTATCTGCTACAATGGTTACTTTGGCCAACAGCATCCTCGCTGGATAATACACACATGTAATATCAATGGAGCTTATGTAATAGTGAAATACCCTAGTGTGTGTGATATATATTATCGTCTAATGAATACATTATAGTCATAATGTTTATGTGTGCATGTACAGTGAGTGATAGACAAGGTTGACCATGGTTATGCCTTAGTCTGGCTCTGTGAACATCAGCCATTAACTGGGGAACCTAAGAATTCTAAAAGTGCATTCGTTTGACTCTGTGCATCAAACTGTTAGCCTAAGACTCCTAAATGTTTCTTATTCTGGACGTATGCTCCTTGGGTATTTACAATCAACCATACAATTCCTAAACGTACCTTGATCTCGTTCTAAAAGCCATAGTCTTTATCATTGAACTGTACAAATCCTACAGGCAGCCTTTGTGTCTGTAGTTGTGATCTTTACAAGACGTTCTACGTACTCATTAAGGCTGAGTGGACCTAGGAGAGCTGCAAAATTGGTTCTGAATCCACTCACCACTGATGTTAGCCAAGACCGTGAATAGCCTGGTGGTGGCCATGTTTGTATCTCAGTGCACAAACCATCCCATCTTCACTGGACATTCGCACTCACTCTTGCTCATCCATACACCCATACACCTACAATTAGCATGGTTGGTGTGAAAGAATTTCAATAAACGTCGATACACTTTTAAAATGACAAAGATACCGCCGCATATCCTCAACAGACTTTTGGGGCAAGTGCTGTTAGTAAGCACCTATGAAGGCCCACATGGCACAATGAGTGGCCGTTGTCTCCCTAGTGGTGATGTATAGACACCACACCAGAAACTCATTTGAGGCTGAGTCGACCTACGGGAGGTCCAGAACCGGTTCAGATAAACCATCAGTGGTGTTGGCCTTGAGCGGGATTCACACTCGGGACACCAAGTTCGTAGCGCAGCAAACTAACCACGACACTACCGCTCCGCAACATACATGTACAAGCTAAAGTACACGCACAATAACAGACGCACACGTGGCAAGAGTCCGTGGAACTCACACATGAATGCCAGCAGGTTGACCACAGCTCCCTGCAGGGTGCTGATTGAGGCGATATCTTCTTCACTGAGAAATGAGGGTGGAGATCCCTGCTGAGCGTCTCTCCTGTGAGACCAGAACCAGCAGTGACTCACACAGCCCGTGTCTTACACAGCATCATCACACAGCATCATCACAGCATCATCACTCACAGCAACATCAGACAGCCCATGTCTTACCCAGCATCATCTTTTGAAAAATAAGAATAGGTTTTGCCCTTTCTGGCAATAAACTAGGTGCTCTGATGTTCAAACACCAAATTGATATATTTTGTAAGGAATAAAATCTGCATTAACCACACGTACTTATCGTGAACATGCAAACAAACATTCTCTAATAATTATATATTATGCAATGTCTTTCAAACTGATTGGCCTAGAACAAAAACAGCCTTCTTTATGGCCTAGTCTCAACAGTGTCAGACCAGAGAACGCCAAATGCAAACAGTGAGCATGTTTGTTTGCAGGTTCATTACAAGAAAGTGTGGTTTAATGTAGCCTTGATTCCTTGCCACAGGTATATATTGCTGTTTGAACATCTTAACACCTGTTTATTGTCAGAAAGGGTAAAACCTATTCTTATATTTCATACTATTGTAGTGACATGGAATCGGTCACATAGCATAGCGCTGGCTGCTGGCAGGGAAGGGGATTTGCAGCTTACAGCAGCCCTGACAGACAGCAGGTCACGTGATAGACCAGAGATGGATGTCCGGGAAGGGTCACGAAAGGGACACATCAAGAACCTGCTAGTCGGTTCCAGAAGGGGGGCGTGGCCGGGGCAGAGCTAGGCTACGCTGACAGTATAAGAGGGGCCCTGGGAGGGGACCTCGGGGCTGTCGTTTGGATTGGGAACCTGTCGTGCTCCTGCTGCTGGAGTCTTCGTCTTCCTCTCCGTCTTCACCATCTCGGCGTCGCCAGTCAGGCAGTCTACCAGCCAGCCAGTCTACCAGCTGTCCTGACTGCGAATCATAGTTACCAAGTGTGAACTGTTAAGGCCGTTTAATAAACAGTGTGCCTCCAACTCTGAGTGTCTCTGAGTCAGTCATTGGCAAAAAGGTCCTTTACTATTGTATCGTTTCATACAGCATCATACCACACATCATCATCATCACGCACAATATCATCACAGCATCAACATGCATCATCACTCACAGGATCATACCACACATCATCATCATTACACACATTATCATCATCACGGAGCCCATGCCCCACACACGGCGTCACCCCATGTGTTAATTTGTGTGACTTCATGAGTCCATACCGGTTTGTTTCCTTTATGTGAATCTGCAGGTGTCAGACACAGGGGGCGCAAGTCAGTTCACCTCCAGACATGTTAACCACACGGTGATTGGTAGATGCGATGAGATGGGTTGTGCTCAGCCTTTCGCATATCCCAGTGTTGTTGGTTGTAAACAAGACAAAGCCGTGGAGTCGTTCGGACTCGATGGTTCTCATCAGCAAGGTGTGGCCTCTCAAACCGTTGCCACTCGGTACCTGATGTCACAGAAAGAGGTGTCCGTGGCACTTGATTCGCAGTGATTGTGAACCAACATTCAAAATAAGTATGCACTGTGCGTGTGAATTACACCCAGAGCGTCGAGATAACAGAGTCTATAGTTTAACAGTGTGAACATTTGTTGAAGCAGGCAATCTCCGCATTGGACTTATCAGCAGTCAGTGCTAAAAAACAAAGCCCCATGGATTTCCTGAAGTTAAAGCACTTCTATTTTTAGGATGACTGATGGTTGGTCTAACTTTGGTACGTGAATAATTTAATTGTAATGTCAAGTAGCCTCAATCTGTTGTACATTACAAGACCATGTGGTTACAGTTTTTAACATCTGGATACATTACCAACCAACTAACTCGAGAGATTTGTGTGTTAATAGTTTATTTATGAATTGGAATTTCAAAAGTAATTAATATTTTTTATCAAAATATACAACTCAATGTTGGTGGACTTGATTTTACATTTAGTTTAATAACGCATGGGCTTTACATTGTATTGACAATGTTAAGCCCATGCGTTGAGTTGCATCGCATGTGCCGCATTAAAAAAATGCAACGAATATACGCGAACTGGGCAATCACCCTGGCTCCGTGATATTTCTACCTGCAGGAACGTGAGCGAGTCCCTCTCCTCCTGCAGAGCGCGCAGGCGCGTGGCTGCTTTCTGGAGGTTGCTGATCTCACGGTCGTAATGAGCGATGTTCTCCTCGATCTGGGACAGCAGCTCACGCCCCTTCACGTCCACGCACTCCAGAGCTGCCTTCTCGTCCTCATCCAGCGTCGCCCTCATGAGGGTGAATTCGCCTGAGATGCGAGCCTTGGTCTGGACCATGGAATCCTGCAAAGGGCATGCGATAGATTCTATCAATTCATATATCATGCTGTGAAGACCAAAGTCACTGGATACTTCAAACATAGATTTCCCTGTCTCGACATTGTCGTTGGAACAGGACAATATTTGTAAGTATATAGGTGTTATTTTGTCCTTCACATTGATCATCTGGCCAGTAATGATATAGTCCAAGCCACCATCCTCCCCATCTTTGACTCCTGTGTAACCATCGACCGCCTAGCCTCTTGTTCCATTATACCACCTGGCTGCCCACTTTGACCTTGATGCCTCCATATCAATGCATGATTGCAACATCTGTATCACCTCTAATTTGTAGCCCCTGGATACCTTCATCTTGAACGTAATTTTGAATAAAACTACCAAATATGTGCAAAGACAGTACAGGGGACTATCGGTCACAGGGGGCAATAACAGGGGAATTAGCAAAGAAAGAGATGAGGGGCCACAAGGGGTAATGACAGGTTAATTGACATAGTGGGCAAAGGGGGTAATGACAGGGGAATTAGCATGGGAAGAGACTAGGGGCCACATGGGATAATGACAGGTTAAGGGTCAGACAGAGGAAGGATCTGGGGCCTACAAGAAGGATCAAGAACAGGGGCTGTGGCCGAGTGATAGAAGAGAGCAGGTGCGGGTCAGGGGCTGAGAGCCATCCAGAAGGTTCTAGAGAAGGGTCGTGGTCAAAGGTCAAGGAATGGCCACACCGGGGATAAAAGGGGTCGAGAGGAGAGGCTTAAGGATGCTGATGGAGTCAGGGTCTTCTCCTGTCAAGTCAACGTGTCTTCAATAAAGATGATCACAAGAGCAGTGTCTCCTGGTGTCGTTACAACTGCTGTCCGAAGTGGGGTGGTATCATCGTGTCACGGGATAACTGGAGGAAAAACCCACCTGAGACGAGGGAGAGGACGAGACCCCCCTTCAGACAGCCCCAGGAGGCGGGGTCCCGGTTAACAACCCCGCAGGTGAAGAAGCTGCGGCGGCAACGAGGGAGGGGGCCGAACCATAGCAGCCAAAAATCATGGAGGGGTGAAGCGAGATGGCGGGACGGCTGGACCAACTATTCGCGGCAGTCGCACAGCTCACCTTGCAGTTACAGGTGACTGCAGCGAGAGGGGGAGCCATGGACAGCCGCAGTCATTTCCACGGTGGAGACTGCACAATCGACGGCCGCCATTCAGCTGCAGCTCCGGCGGTGCAAAAGAGAGCAGCGGACCGTCCAAGACGGATGACTCCCATCAAGGAGTTTGTGGTAGCGGGAGATAACTGGTCCACTTTCACCCGGAGGTTTGAGGCAGCATATTAAGCAATAGGTTGGACGGAGGAGGAAGCACTGAGGGTTTTGCCGACCGCCCTTGACGACGATGCCCTCATTGCAATCCAAGCTGTGCCTGAGGGATGAAGGGCCACTCTTCAACAGGCATCCAACACATGGAGGAAGTTCCTGCAGCGGAGACGGGGGGAGGCCGAGATGCCCCTCACTTACCATAGCATGTTGATGGCACTCGGGCAGGCAGCATACCCGCGAATGGACAAGACAGTGCTGGACTCACTATTCTTGGAGAAGATGCTGGTGTTGGCACAGGAGATGGGGGTCGTGCTGCCCATCGTGGAGAAGGAGGCACAGACCTTTCTGTGGGTAGCCAGCTGCCTGCAGGCTCATGAAAGCATGATCCCGCAACCTCGAGTGATTGCATGGGCAGGTGAGCCCGTGTTGGGCGAAGCCTCAACAGCCCAGTCAGCGGGAAGCGCAGAGGCACTGACAGAGGAGGATCTGGAGCTGGGGAATTTGGTGGCGGTGGTGGTGCAAGGCTGGGCTCGGCGGCAAGAAGAGACATCGTGACGGCCTCGAGGTTGGAGACCAAGGGCGGAGACGACCCCTCCACAGCGGGGTCCCACCATTGCCTGCTTCCAGTGGGGACAGCCAGGACACATTGCGTGGAGATGCCAGAGCAATGCGAGAGTCTCGCAAGTTGTTCTCCATGACAGAGAGGTTTCACACCATCGTTGCTTAGTGGTCCCCACTTCCATGCGGGGTAAGCTGACGCGAGCTATGCATTAAACTAAGCTGCTGCACCTTGGGCATCGGAAAACGCTGTTGACCTTGCAATGGGACTTTAACTGGCCTGGAATGTCGACCGATGTTCATCACCTGGTCGCATGTTCCATGGAGTGCATGCGTCAAAAGCTCCCATTGCAAAGATATCAGCCCCCGTTGCAGTCCATCACAGTGTCCCGCATAAATGAATTGGTTGCCCTAGACATCATGAACCCATTTCCATTTCACAAAAGAGGAACAGGTTTCTCCTGGTGGGAGTGGAGTATTTTACTCGGTGGCCAATTACTTGGCCATTGCCGGACCAAACAGCTGCATCCATTGCAGATGCATTCCCGCATGGCCACGTCTTAAATAACGGTGCCCCAGAGCAGTTTCTCACTGACAAGGATAAAAATTTCACTTCTAAACTGCTGCACAAAGTGTGTGATGCATTCGGTACAAAGAAAATTAGAACATCGCCATAATATCCTCAAACGGATGGGATGGTAGAATGCTTGAACAGGACATAACATCTATGCTCTGTCAACTGGTTAATGAGGCACAGACGGACTGGGACTTGCATGTCCCGGGCATCCTGGCAGCATAAAGAATAGCCCGACACGCCTCTATGGGATTCTCCCCTTTTTATTCAAATGTATAGGACGGGAAAATGAACCCCCATAGAGGCTCAACTGGGATAAAACAGTCGTCCGTACCCATGCCACTAAAGGATACACTTGGGCATGTCTCAGAAGCGCGCGTGGCAGCAAAAGAAAATACTGCCATGGCACAAGCCACTAACAAAAGGAACACGGAGTGGCGTGAGCACGTGCTTCCATGGGCAATCGGGGACAGGGCATGGTTACATTGTCCGCAGGTGCCGCTGCGTATGTCTCCCAAGTTACACCGGCCATGGCATGGAAGGGGGAAGATTATAGAGTTGAAACGGTCGCAGTGTGGATCAGGGGCCGAGAGCCATCGAGAAGATTCAAGAGAAGGGGCATGGCCAAGGGTCAAGGGATGGCCACGCTGGGGATGAAAGGGGTCGAGAGGAGGGGCTCGAGGCTGCTATTGGAGTCAGGGTCTTCGCCTGTCAAGTGAATGTGCCTTCAATAAAAATCATCACAAGAGCAGTGTCTCCTGGAGTCGTTACATATGCGTAGTGGATTCAACTGAGTCGTAGACGTACTTCTTGGAGGTAACACATATTTGTTAATACCAACACTAACCAAGGGGTTACTGCCCCTTCAACAGATAACCTAGGGTGGTGGACCACCAGGCTAACTACGTTAGTTACTGGGAGTAGTTACAACGGACAGGACCCTAGCTGGAGTCCTCGTCCGCGTGTTGGTGACTTCTTCTTGGACGTAGAACGTAGATCTTAGATCTTCAGATGACGGCAGCAACGCGGAAGCCCGGACCCTGTGTGAACCCAGTTTATATGCTGCTGGGTCGTGGCTGGCCCCGCCTTGGCCACAACCACCTTCGAGAAACCTCAGGTCATCTCTCGACCCCTCCCGTAGGATCTACCCTGACACATGACCACCCCCAAGCACCCACCCTGGGGCCCATGTGTAGATCCTACTGGTTACGTGCCATCCAGGGTCAACCAGAGTGCTATGACCTAGGGTAACCTCATCTCATGGCCGACACTATCACACTCCCTCCTGTAGGAGTCAACACTACACGCCACGCGTGGTGCCACTGCGCTATCCCAGCGCTCACCGAGCCCCCCCTAGGGCTGGTACTACGCCCACCTACGGGGTGTTCGCGATGACAATGCATCACACGCCGTGGCTCACTAGAACCGGCATTACACCGTGATATACACGATGTCGCTACATACATGATGTCCGCGATGTGAGTACATCGCACGACGTGCCCCTCTCGGGCCGGTACCACACAGTGACACCCGCGATGTCACTACATATGTAAGGACCTCCTAGCTCAGCAAATTTCCAGTCGCAGCTTCAAAATAATCTCCCTATTCATAAAAAATATATATATTATTAAAACTTGGTTTTGTGATGCGTCCTTCCATGCCGCTGCTACTACCTCACGTTACTGGAATGTCCGTGCCTCTCAGCCTAGGCTGGGCTTCCTCCCCACTCTCCAAAATGATTAGAGACCTGCGTGATGAGTGAGATATGAACCAGTTCTGGATTTTACCTTCAGCAACCCATACTCACCCGCACAACTAAGTATGGCCAACTAGCCTCAATGATCAACACGATGTGGGGAAGCCTTCGTATAAAAGTGTATTGGTGAGGTTCTGTAAATTATTTGCAAAATCGATAAGCACACAAGTCGCCTTCCTCATAGATCTGTCTCTCCACATCAACAATAAAAGTATTTTGTACGCAATCTATTGGCCTGGTGGCCTTTTGTGATTGTATAATTCTAGCATAACTGTATTCATTCAGTGCATAAAAACTCTGGACCGGTGTTGGCATGCAGTGTCTTATCAGAAGAGTCAGTCTCGCTTGAATTAACTCAGGTCAACTGATAGGTGTTATAGACAAGGACCCTCTATGATATAGATCTTAGTCAGACGAAAAACGTATTTGATATATAAACAAGTCCAGTATTTCCTCTACAGAATCAATGCTGCTAAAAGGATGCACTCCCAGAATACTGTGGAGCCGATGGAATGTTTATGAATTTATGTGTAGCACTGTAAATGGGACTGTGTATACGGATGGGTCGCGCTACTTACCTACAGTAGCAGATGGGATCCACCAGGAGCAATACCTCGGGCCGGCATAGGGCCCGCTAGATTCCCCAGCCCCGAGTAAAAGGGGGGCTGCGGGGTGTGCTGGGATCCCCCGGGAATCCCCCTTGGAACTCTCTAGAAGGGAGGCGTGTCCGGGGGCGGGCACATCTCCAGAGCTGTATAAAAGCCGGACCTCTGGACGGGTCCAAAAGGCAGTTGAAGACTGAAGACCTGCTAGCCAGGACCCTGGGACTCCCCTGACCAGCCGTCCTTATAAGGGCCGGGTCAGAGTGGGCTAGTGGTGCGACCCTGGGAACCCTCGGGGCCCGACGTCCTTGTCAGGGCCGGGATGGAGTGGCCAGTGGTCGGGACCTGTACCTTGGCTGGGTCAGGTCAGAAGAGCCTCCTAGGTCACCCTTAACCGGAGGACCCAGAGACCATAGCCCCAGTAGTAGGGCACGCCAGTCCGGAGGCATACCTCCTCAGGCAGTGGGTGAAGGGGCCATTACCCCTTCGAGTGTTAGGGCTGTACCTGCTGTGTTATAGCATTTGTTAATAAATGTGTTGCCTCTACCGGTCAATCTCTGCTCTCATAAAAACCCACTACATATGTATTACGTGGAGAGACAGATGTGTAAGGACATCATAACGTCTGTTAATGTTTTTATAGTGATGTTCTCCGCAACGAGTCTAATTATTATGTTTATGTTGTGTATTATATAATTTGGCATCTAACTAGGACCCATATAATTACGAAAGGGTCTTTGCCTATAAACATAGGGCAGTTCATCAGCCTTACCGCAAGTAAGCCTGCCTCTGATACCGAGACACTGGGTGTGGAAATCAGTCCAGAGTTTGCTTTTACCCATTCAATACTTTTGAAAAATGCACTCCCACGTCGTGGGGCTGATGGAATGTATATATTTTTCTCATCATTTTTATACAAAGGCAGATATATTATGGAGGCGTTTTATGTGCTTATCTTGTTTTTGTTACTAATATTCTCCACGTTTTTTTGTAAATTGTTAATATCACCAGCTGACCCGATGCCCTGCATTACAATGGTTACTTCTTTATGCGCAAACATAAACAGGCTCATAGCAAAATCGTTGAAGACATACTAAAAATAGACACAGTTGCGTAATTATCATTACCAATAAAATGTACTGCACATAGAGTTAATCACCGATATATCACGATTCGTGCAAATTCAATTTAAAATGTTTGAAATAGTCAGACTCTATGTTATGTCTGCTTGACAGTTGGGTGCTTGTCATGAGAAGAAACATTTTTTCCAGCATTCCCATTACTCTCTTGAAGTCACGTTTCTTGTGTTTATTCTATCATTTAACAGCCAATATTCTGTCATTTCATCTTCATATTCACTCGTTTAATTTCTAGTTTCTAATTCAATGCAGTCGTAGCTCCATACTGCGTAATTTAATCTCACCCATTGCAAGCCATTCAAGTTAATCTGAGATGAGCTTTGCAGTCTCACGATATAATTTTTTAAACGTTGCATTTTTTTTATCATTTATTAGCGGGAAGTACCCCGCGTTGCCCGGGCGAAAAAGACAGACACACACATCGACTTACACACAGACATCGATCCACACACATAGAAACACATCGACTTACATGCACAAACACACATATGGACTCTAACACACAGACATCGACTTTAGACACACACACATGGACTTACACACACATGGACCCACACACACACATCGACTTACACACACACATCGACTCACACACACACACACATACATAGACTAACACACACATGGACCTACACACACACATATGGACTTACAAACATATCGACGCACACACACACATGGACACTCACACACATACACACATTGCCGTACACACATCGACTAACACACATAGACTCACACACAAACATACATCGACTCACACATGCACATAGAGCCACACACACATGGACTGACACACACACATGGACTTACGCACACACACACACATGTACGTACACACACACGGACTCACACGCACACATGGACCTACACACACGCAAAGAAATTAACTTACAATGACTCACATGGAGCCACGCAAACACAGCGACCAACACACACGCACATCGACTGACACACACACATCGACTCACACACACACATTGACTCACACAGACACATCGACTTACACACATACATCGCCGCAGACACGCACAACGACCCACACGACAACATGGACTTAAACACACACGTTATTATTGTGAAAATAAGTAACTTAATTTTAAATAAGTAGTTGTCTACACACGCATACCACGCACACACACTGACTAACACACACACAACGACTTACGCACACACACATCAACGGTATGCACTGCTATCACTACAGCAGTGCATACCGACTGTGGTGGTACCTGCTTTCACTATAGCAGTGCATACTGACTGTGGTGGTACCTGCTTTAACTACAGCAGTGCAAACCAACTGTGGTTGTTCCTGGTATCACTACAGCAATGCCTACTGACTGTGGTGTAACCTGCTATCACAACAGCAGCACATACTGACTGTGGTGGTACTTGTTATCACCACAGCATTGCATACCGACTGTGGTGGTACGTGCTTTCACTACAGCAGTGCATACCGACTTTGGTGGTACCTGCTTTCACTACAGCAGTGCATACTGACTGTGGTGGTGTAGCGCCATGGATGGGCTGCACTTGCAGGCAACGACAGGCAGCCCAGAAGCGGTTGGGGACTGTGAGGGATTCTACGATCCCTCGCAAACACTCCCAATGGCTGGGGGCTGCGGCTGCACTGGCCTGCAACGGCAGACATGCGGACCTCTCTGTGGGGGACTCTGGGGACACCCACATCCCTCACCGAAGTCCGCACCTCCGCCGAGAAACTTATATAAGGCGGACCTCTGGAGAGGTCCGGGGAGTTGAAACCCGAAGCAGTTGAAGACAGAAGCAAGAAGACCTGCTCGTGTAGGACCCTGGGTCTCCCTTACCTGCCGTCCTCATAAGGGCCAGGTCTGAGGAACCTGTGGTTGGACCTGTACCTTGGCTGGGTCAGGTCAGGCAGCCTCCCATAGGATATTATAGCCGGAGGACCTGGAGCGTAGCCGGGGTAGGCACGCTACATAGGTGGCGTATACTAGACCGAGTGAAAGAAGCACAGGAGATCAACTGTACGATGAGTTGATGTATAGTAGTTAGGGCGCGTGTGTATAATAAAGATGTCCCCCTACGAAGTGTCTCCAGAGAAACACTCCAGTGATACCTGCTATCATAACAGCAGTGCATACCGACTGTGGTGGTACGTGCTTTCACTACAACAGTGCATACTGTGGTGGTTCCTGCTATCACTACAGCAGTGCATACCGACTTTGGTAGTATCTGCTTTCACTACAGCTGTGCATACTGACTGTGGTGGAACCTGCTATGATTACAACAGTGCATATTGTGGTGGTACCTGCTATGATTACAGCAGTGCATACTGTGGTGGAACATGTTATGATTACAGCAGTGCATACTGACTGTGGTGGTGCCTGCTATGATTACAGCAGTGCATGATTACTGTGGTGGTACCTGCTATGATAACAGCAGTGCATACTGACTGTGGTGGCACCTGCAATGATAACAGCAGTGCATGCTGACTGTGGTGGTAGTTGCTATCACTACAGTAGTACATGCTGATTCGATAGCAGTATTTATCAAATCTATAACACAAAGTACTAACCAGACAGAGTGCCTTGGTGAGGCCTAGTCCCGTGCAGAGCCCCCTGCCTCACCAAGATTTCTCAGCCGGCCGAGGTGTGACTTTGGCAGGTTGGTGGCTGGGCCACTCCACCTGGCCGTGCAACAATAATACTATGTAAGCGCTATAATAATATTCTAGATTTGAGGCTTTCGTGACTGCAAGGATTCATATTCTTAGGTTTTTTCGGTAAATTCACGTAGGTACAAAATTAAAATTAATAAAAGTAAAATAAAAATAAAATAAAATTCACGACGTTTCGGAGGCAACACAAGCTTCAATCTTCAGGTGGAACCGTCACAGCACGATTGCTGTATCAAGTAAGAGCAATTCCAAGAAAACAGTCCTTGTATAGATACTGGATGAGGGTGGGACGAGCCAAGGCAGGCACCTGGATATTATTATTGTGAGGTTCGGTGCGGCTGAAGCACGCTGCTAGGAATGAGTGTTTGTTGTGTAGACTGGTTGAACTGGGAGGTTCCAAGAGTTGTTAAGGTGCGGCTGATGTAAAGGTGCGGCTGCTGTGAATGGGACTGAGCCTTTGTTATGTAGATGAAACAGCACTTTGCTACGTTGCTGGGATTAATTCTAGATTTGCCAAATATGTGTGGTAAAACTTAAAGCAGGAAAACCAGTGTGTGAAAAAGAAGAAGAAACTATACAATAACTGAAGAATAGTGCCTGTCAAATAATAATATTATGTAGGGGCTCTTCAGTAGTTTCAGGACGCATTGGGGTGGGTTGGGAAGAAGAGGACATCACGCTGTGAAGAATTTACGTGTTTTGTGTGTTTTTTCTGGATGTTTAACGCGAATGAAAATTTGTGCCGATTGTGTGAGCATTGCTCGGGGCAACCCATGTCAGTAGTGAAAGTGTAATTAGATAAATGCTTATAATACTAATGTGTGCGACTTACCTTGGGCGATGGTGCATGTGGATTGCTAGGGGGTAACCCAGTGGGCGTAGTGCACAAGTGCAGCTTGCTGCGTTGTCACTTCCCGTACGGTGAAGAGAAATAAAGAAATGATCGCACAACTACATATTTAAATTAAGAAAAATCGCGAAAAACGCCTATTTTAACTCTTTTAAAGGTGAGTAACGGGAAAACGGAATAGCGCTTGCCAACCGCGAGGCTTACGGCGTGGTACCTGGCTCTGTTTTTCGGAAACCCCACCGTTTGAGAGCCAAATCCCTCACAAGCGCGCGAACACACACACACCCACACACAAACCCACAAACAATTTTTGACTTTTATATATATCGATATTTTAAGCCCCCATAGCTATAATAATGCAATATCCTGCACAGTTATTACACAATGACTCAAAGCTAACAAAGTTCACTTGAATCTACGGAGTTGTCCTCACAGGGAGAGAGTCACAGACTTCACTCAGGGTGGAGGTCACAGGGTAACAGAGTCCACGCGTGGTACCTGCACGGCCTTGCGAGTGGCCTTCATCCATCCCACGGACGCCTCCGCCTCCATCATCTTCTCCTCCACTGCTCGCGTTTCCTCTCCGACTCCACTCTGTAAGAGACAAAGTCATCAGAGGAGTCTCCACTCCCTGAGCGGCTCCCTCTCAGCCCCACTCCACACGGAGCCCTCCACAGTGATCGTTCTATAACTGCCCAACAGAAAAGAGTCCAAGGAAGTCAGCTTGATAGAAAAACAGCATGGAGAGAGAATCATCCCACCATGATGGTTTTGATTTAATTAAATGTTGTTGTAGCACTCTTATGGGCTCAAGTCATGGTACTGTTCGCTCCTGAGTGGCTCCAATTCAACGCACGCAGGCCTTACCTTCCGTGTCTGATGCTCATCCTCCAGTGTGATGAACTTATGACCCGTGTGGTCTCCTGCGATGGTGCAGTCCCTGCACACGAGGCTGAGGTCTTGCTTGCAGAAGAACTTGAGCTCCTCTTTGTGCCTCTTGCACTTGCGTTCTTCAGGGTTCACATCTGGTGAAACCAGTACGTGGTCCTTCAACTTCGCTCTCTCCAGGTGAGGCGCGAGATGCTCCGTGCAGAAGGACATCTCACACTTGAGGCAGGTCTTCACTGCAGGCGTTTTTCCTTCTGGGCAGTGGTCACAGAAAACAGCTCTAACAACAGCAGCAGCAGCCATGGTCTCAGCCACTCGCAGCTGCTCTATGAGATTGGCGATCGTCACGTTCCTGGTCAGTTGGGGTCGTCGAGGGAAGGTCTTGCGGCACTGCGGGCAGCAGTAGGAGTCTGTCTCCTTCCAGGCATCCTCCAGGCACTGGAGGCAGAACGAGTGGCCGCAGCTCAGCGTGGAGGGGCAGTCAAACGTATCCAGGCAGACGGAGCAGATCAACTCACGGTCCACGTTCTCAGCGGGAGCTGTGCTCGCCATGACCCAAGGATGCACCAAAAGTTAGTCACTCCCTGTCGCTCGGAAAAATATATATGTTAACAAAAAATAGTTTTACTTTTATAATCTCTTGAGATGTTGAATATCATTGACGAGTTGTTCTGTGCGCAGCTCACGCAGCGGAGACGAACAAGGAAATCAACTGACTTCACCTGCAGTTTAGTTATAAATACCTTGAGACACGCCCTGGAATGTTCCACATGGCGGCCATGCTGACCTGTGTAGGCGTGGCGTTACAGTCACGCACTGTGTAACTAAAACTGCTTTTTGTGTTTAGTTTGTTGTCCTCCCCCTGCACTTCCGATTAGCATGGTTGGCTACGTACGGTGTGTAAGAAGTTCACCAAACATACATGGCTTTGACTTGTTTCAAGTGATATAATATTTGTACAAACAAAACCGAGCAGCAGCAGCCAGGGACACAGCGATAATGGTTTGTCCCACATGTCTCATTCTCTCCTGAAATCTGTGAAACGCGTTTATTCCTGGGGGAGATGTTCTCCCTTGTGGATGGCAGCTGGTTAGTAGTGTGTGTGGATGGTGAGTAGTGTGTGTGGATGGTTGAATGTGCTCAGATGTATAAGGAATGTAAAAACAAGCCCCGCATCACACATACCTGTCTAGATGTACCTGTAGATTCGCGCCGTTGGCTTTAACCAGTGCCAACAATGGACTTTGTAAGAACATGATCACAATCGTAAAAATAACACATCCTGAGATGCGGGCTTTCGATTCCAAACAGTCGCCTGTGAATAAACGCGGTTCTCCGGTGAAACGAGTTGATGGTTTAAGCCCCAAACGCATACAGAGTTGGTTCTGCGATTAATTTGTCTAAAGTCCAGTTCTGAGCATTGTAAAGTAGTGGTTTGACTGCCGTGCGTCGAACATAGGGTCAGGCTGTGTGCATTGCCACAGTGGAACCGCACCTTGTACAGACTTATTTCGCAGCGTACGTAGCCATTCGTGCTAATCAAAGGTGCGAGTGAGTGGGTGGTGGTGGATGTTGAGTGAGTAAGTGGGGGGGTTATTTGGTGAGAGGGGAGACAGATGGGCAGGAAGATGGCGTGAAGGGTGGGCGAGCAGGTGGTGAGAGAGGGCTGGAGGAAGATTGGCTGGGAGGGTGTGCGGTTGAGTGATTGGTTCCCTGGGGGGGGTGGCCTCACGCATTAACACAGCGAACAACCCCTGGCTAAACAAACATCGTCGTTCATTTAAGCTAATTATCTACGTGACTTTCACTGTCAATTTTCTTATTATGTGTAAAAGAAAATCGAGGATTTAAATCTTAATAAACTAAAATATATATTCATCACCTATTCATCTTCTTGGTTCTTTCCGTAAAGTCACGTAGAAGGGAAATATTAAAAATAATAAAAAATAAAACATAATAAAATAAAATTATCACGACGTTTCGGCCACAACGAAAGCAGCCGTCCTCAGATGAAGAACAGGGCTGTTGGAATGACAGCGTCCCAATGAACTCCGCCAAGCTTGGCAGCATATATTTAAGCTGAGTTAGAGGAGGAGAGCGCCTTGACAAAGGAGTTTACATATCAACAGAGGAATTTAGCATATTGTTGGCAAATGCAGATATGGGTTTAGTCACTACTTGTGGAATGTGTAGGTGATGGGGGGGGTCTCAAAGTCATATTATGCTAGTGTATTATGTAGGATTAGCAGTAATAAAGGGGGGAAGTAGGAATAGCTGTAATAAAGGGAGGGAAATGTTAATAGTAAGGAGCTGCAGCAGCCAAACCACCACGTATCAAGCTCGTGCATTGTGGACAACAAAAAAGGAGGAGTTTCTAAAGAACTGCAAATACCCTACTACCATATAATACACCGATGTGAAAAAACTAAATATAACCTACATTAATATATTTCGATTTAAAGATTTCTTGACTGCAGGGATTCATCTTCTGTCGAGAAGACAGAGTCTGAAAGTCATTCAGACGCTGTCTTCTCGATAGACCTGTTCTCCACCTGAGGACGGCTGCTTGCGTTGTGGCCGAAACGTCGTGAGAATTATTTTTAATTCTGTTTCATTTTTATTTATTAGTATGTTTTATTTTTATTATTTTATTATTTCCATTCTACGTGACTTTACCGAAAGAACCAAGAAGATACATCAATCTAATCAATACTCAATATACACTCCAATAAGCTGAGCTATTAACATTAAGTAACTGGGTATAAACTACACTGTATAATGACTACCATATAGTGAACCGATAAAATACTAAAATATAAACTACATCAATATCATCAATATACTCAATATACTCTCCAATAAGCTGAGCTACTAACAGTAAGTCATACATTACACTTCTATGTCGCAAAAAATATAATATGCCTCCAGCTAAACTTTTTTCTTACATCACACGGATATACCCCGTACTATACATTGCCATAGACAAACCCAACATTAAATTATACACTGCGTTACTATACACCACCTTAGACTATACATTGTAATATTACACTATGTATTGTTAATGTTAAGATTTTACATCCTGGACTCGCTGAGTTTGGTCGATTCTATATAAAAAAAAAATGTTTTACCAGGTAAGGCCCACTGAGGTTTATAGCTCTTTTCAGAAGCGACCTGGCCACAATTGATAGCTCACAGACGTGGCTTATTACGTGGACATTTATAGCAGCCAAACACTCTAAACGCACTTTTCTAAGTGTGAAGGGAATCACTGGAGGATTGGGAGAAAAATGCACGCGACCACAGGCAGAGAGAATGCAAACTCCAAGTACACGTACAGGCGTCAGTTTTGGGATCGACCCCACGACCTCCTGCATACCGGGCGAGGTAGTTAACATCTCTGAGTCACTGCAGCGCAATGTAAAAAATTATCACAGAGCAGCGACAACGAACAAGGAAACGAACTGACTTCACCTGCAGCTAAATCATAAACATGAGACAGGCCCTGGAATGTTGCATGCGGCAGCCCGTACTCACCTGTGTTGACGTGGCGTTACATTCACACACACAGTGTCAGGGGAGTCGCAATTGATATATTTTTACAAAAACCCCACGGTAACCATGAACACAGTGATGGTTTGTCCTCTAGACTGGTTACACTCGCTTGGCTGAGGCTGTGTTTTTCCACTGTAAACCCTACCTTGTAAATTTGTATTAAATAATTAAAATTCTGAGTAGGCTTTCGCGACCAATATTATCCATACAACATGTTTTTGGGTTAGATCGCGTAAATATAAAAGTGTCGTTAAACCCGCCACCACCCGACACAACCAATGATTAAGGTTTGTCACCTAAACAAAAAACATTTCGGCAAGGCTGAGGCTGTGCGTTTTGCCCAGCAAACCACACAACTGTAAGTTTGTATTGAAGGATTACAAAAAAAAACGATTCCCCTAATCCAGGGGGTTCAAAAACCAAAATAACAAGAAGAGACATTTTTTCTTTGTTTTTTACAAACCCGTAAGTAAAAAAAGACCAAACAACTGAATATTTCAAGAGCCGCAATGCGACGTGGTGTGAGAAGGAGAAATGGTGGTGGTGGTGGTCTTCGATAAATAAATACGTCTCACGAAGCAGACGTCCCTCAAAGAGCCGCACGCTGCTACGGAGCTGCAGGTTGCAGACCCCGTGCCCTGAACCAACTGGCGTGAGCATCAAGTAATAATAATAATTGAATTATTATAATTTTATTGGAAATGTATAATAATAAATGAGTTAGTTATTTTTTTTTACATTTTAAACTATTACTAACTTAATTATTAAATAAGTTTCCTACCGACACTTAAATAATAATTTAATAATAATAAAACAATTATTTTGTAATACTTCGATGATAATAATGCAATAATATTTTAATAATAAAGTAATAATTTTTTACTGATTAAATTATAATTCAGTAATGGTAATTTAATAATAATAATATAATAATTCTAATTTACATTTACTAAGCGCCCTTAAACAATTGCTCTCGGGGTGCTATGTATGGTAAAGCAGAAAATAGTGAACATCACCCAAGGAAATAAGTGAGAAGAACATTTGAACATAACTGAAGAGAGAAATCCATTTTAAACAGACGGCTTTAGTGAAGATGTGAAGATGAGCAGTGTCTCGGAAGTCCCCTTGACCTCGAAGGGCAACGAGTTGCAGAGTTTAGGTGCCGCGATTGCCAAGGCACCGTCACCCCCCACGTGTGTAGCCTAGAGACCGTGGGACGGTCAGCAATGCACAAGCTGAGGATCTTGACGATCTTGATGGAATATTCGTGGCTGAAGGAGGTCATGGATGTAGGGAGGAGCAAGTCCATTTAAGGCGACGCGAGTCGGTTGACGCTGCCTTTTTCTCGTTTCTGTCATTGCCTCTTCTTTCTGCAATGCTTTGCAGTTATTTCTTGGACTCATTATCTCCATCAGAATATCTGCGAAACGGGTTTATTCCTGGGGGAGATGTTCTCCCTGGTTAATGGTGGCTTTTGAGTAGTGTGTGTGTGGTGAGTAGTTTGTGTGGATGGTGAGTGGTGAGTAGTGTGTGTGCATATGAGATGGTTGGTAGTGTGTTTGGATATCGGGTGGTGAATAGTGTGTATATGATGAGTGGTGAATGTTTTTTTTATCAAGGCTCACAGACAAGAAACAAGGATTTTAGATTACTTTACACGGGGTTACAAACCTCACGAGGCACCCCATGGAATGTGCTCAGATGTATAAGGAATGTAAAAACAAGCCCCGTATCACACATACCTGTCTAGATGTACCTGTAGATCCGCGCCGTTGACTACAACCAGTGCCAACAATGGACTTTGTAAGAACATGATCACAATCGTAAAAATAACACATCCTGAGATGCGTGCTTTCGATTCCAAGCAATCGCCTGTGATTAAACGCGGTTCTCCGGTGAAACGAGTTGATGGTTTAAGCCCTATTATCAATGCCAGGTATGAACACAAACGCATTCAGAGTTTGGTTCTGCGATTTATTTGTCCAAAGTCCAGCTCTGAGCATTGTAGAGTCGTGGTTTGACCGTCGTGCGTCGAACATCGACAACGCAGCTGGGAGGGTTGGTAATTGCTGCCTCCTGGTCGAGATGAGAACATTATTTGGCGATGCATCGTTGGGGGTGGTGCGCAGGTACAACTAACATAACACCGTGTTGCGAATCTCCGATAAGCGCGGATGGCTACGTATGGTGCGAAAGAAGTTCAATATACATGCAACTATACAGCACTAATATACACTACACGACGACACTACACTACTCACCACACACGATACACTTCTATACACTACACTAAACTACGATACACAACACCACTATACTACATTAAATACATTGAAAACATACACACGTTCCGTAAAAAAACCCCAATAGTCGGCCTGCATCAGGTGGAGAGATGTTATCAGCCTCGCTTCATATGCATGAGGTCATCGGTTCGAACCCGACCCTGACACCTGTATATTTGGAGTTTGCACGTTCTCCCCGTAGTCGCATGGATTTTTCTACGGATCCTCCGGTTTTTTCCTCCATATTTAGAAAC